GAACTTAAAGATTAAATGTAAATGACTGGAACAGTGATTATTCTACAATACAACCCAATACAGAATTTCAGTATCTCTTTTCCTTGAACTTAAAGTTTAAATGTAAATGACTGGAACAGTGATTATTCTACAATACCATTAAGAATCTGTATGTCACTCTTTTTGCTACAGAGACAGCATACACGCTCATCTTACATACTACCATAATTAACATTTCAGGTATTAAAAAAAGACACAATATTCAGCTTGATTATGTTAAGACAATCTTAGGTTCAGATTTCAACATCTCAGGAAAACTGAAGGCAACAAGATGGAGGTCTGCTTATTAAGAGCAGCAACTAAATTCTGAACTTAATTAAAAATTCAATTCTCTAAATCGTTTAGTGAATCTTAGGGAGCTGAGATATACTACTACTTAAATGCATTAAGATGAAATAAAAATAGGTGATATAAACTTTCATTTCTATGGAAAATAAGAAAAAGTTTTCAGCAACATATTACATTCCCTTTCTAAGAAGACAGGAGTATAAAGAGAAGATTGTTGTCTAATAGCTGTGAAGTAATGCGAAATGGTTATTGATACTATTTCAGTGTTTTATTTTCAATATGGGGCACACCCTCAACTAATTACACTATTAAACACGAGAAACCAACAGTTAAAGGTTCTGGGTTCACAGAAGAAATTTTTTAATGTAACATTACAGCAGATACATAATTCAATGTGATGTCCTAGAGAAGATCCATTCACATTTTCCTCATTTATTCCTTTTATTTTTTTCCAAAATAAAACAAACAAAAACTTTACTCAGGTCCTGCTAGCTTCAATAAAAAGTACCATATTTTCGCAAATAATGCACCTCATGTAAATTACGTGCCCACACATATAACGTGTGGCATGGCTCGCTTACAAAAATGGTGAGGGGGGTGTTGCGTGGTTGGCAAAAACGTATAACATGCATGTTATTTGCGTGACAATGTGGTACATGTAGGCACTGAATTTTGCCTACTTAAAAGAATTAACCATTGATAGTTCTGAAGTAAAGTAAGAAGAAAACTATGGGCGCAGAGCATGAACAGAGCTGAATGTAATCTTGAAAGTTAGGTTGTTGTCTTATTAATTTTTATATCAACAGCACTTCAAATATTAGTTTTCAAATATAATGTTGAATAAATATTTGATGAATTAAACTACAGAGAGAAGGCTATTACTTAGGGCTTGTCATATGATAGAGTCCATATGCTTTGTCTGTGCAATGGGCAACCTGTTTATGTGATTTGTAGAATTAATTTATGGCCCATAATTCATTTAGATTCTTCCAGAGTTGATAATACATTGTAAAATGTGACAAATAGCAACAAAGAACTTAAATCCATAAATAAAGTTTTATCTTAGCTATAGTTTTAATCTAATCCTCTAAATTTTTTTTAACCAGGTTAGAAGGAGAAATGAAACCTTAAGGAGCATCCAAAAGCGGGGGCGGGGGGAGTCAAGATAGGAAGTGGAAAGTGAAGGAGTTCAGGTATAATCATTACATGAAAAAAACAAAATTGCAAAGACCAGACTTACTGGTCTGACAGAGACTGGAGAAACCCTGAGAGTATGGCTCCCGGACACCCTTTTAACTCAGTACTGAAGTCACTCCTGATGGTTTACCCTTCAGCCAAAGATTAGACAGGCCTATAAAACAAACAATAACACACGTAGTTCAACCACGTATACGAGACTAAATTGGCACACCAGCCTAGGGGCAAGGATGAGA